TAGTGAGATGTGAGTTGAGTCATTGCTTTGTCAGCTTTGATAATTTCACTTCTGTCAGCAGAAAGTTTTGCTGGGTAATGAATGGTATGTTACCGCCATTTCAGTGACTCTAACAAATTCATAAATCACTGTTAAGATTTCAAGAACTCAAGATGTTTTCAATTTATTGCTTTTAAGAAGTAAAACAATGGGCGATATACAAAGTAGAAAAAGTCATTCGAACGATGCCGAAGGCAATGTCGAACCTTTCGGCAATGAAGAGAATCTCAACGCTGATCTTCAAACTCCAAACTCATCTCTGAGCACCACTCAAGCTCTCCAAAGGAAACGAAGTTTCAATCCGGTACGATCGCTGTCGAGAATGTCACGCGAAAGATCGGTACGTTTTCGTGATGAGTTCTTCATTCCTCACTCAAATTTTTTCCTGTAGTTTTATTAGCCAATCAATTTTTCACAGTTTCCGTTATGGAACGTAATGAATTTTTCTTTTGAAATGATTTCTCAACAATCGTCGCATTCGTTCGGATGTTCTGAATGTTTGTTTTCGATGAGTCTCTCTTGCTTTCGTTGAGTCTGATACGTGTTAATCGCTGTTCGTGATGTGCTGAATTTTGTTACACAAAGTAAATCAGTGATACTTACGCTCTTGCACTTCATGCCCCCACTCCCCTTAACTGTGCGCGAGACCGCCATTCCTTTCCCTGCAGTTTGTGAAAGTGCGATTTTCTCTGCTGTTCTGATAGCGCATTATTTTGCCGTGACAAAGCAGATCAAAATCAGAAAAGTGATCATCCGCTGATCTGAAAGCTTGCTGTAATGAATTCGTTGGCAGAGAAAAATCCATTATGGACAAAAAAGCACTTTAAAAAATTTTCCTGAGCATTACCGAACAACTATGGTAAAATCACTCAACAATGGCTTGCCAGCCTCGTCTATACCTAGCTTAGAATTCCCCTGTAAGTTAAAATGATGTTTCGCATTTAGCACATCTGACTCTCACTTATATGAAGCACCTCTGTTTTCGGATTGAGCATTTTAAAAGTCATGCAAATCCTGCAAAGGGAAATGTTAAATAAATGAATGAACTTGATAAAATCGTCTGTCAATGAGATGATCAAAGATACTGATGCACATCTGAGGTGATCGAAGATAATAGCGCATATCT